AACATAAATTATAACACTAAAAACATAAATGTTTAGACTAAACAGGTTAAATCTCATTATACATTTATATATATATATTTATTATTTTTATTATATTGACCTTTCAGCCATGCTTGGCTAACAATACAAAAGCTACAATGATGTGGCTCACATGCGATCATCTTACCAGTATCAAATAACATAAAACTGACCTTTGGTCTGTACAAAGTAACTCATCTTGGCTTTGTTTTAGTAGACTGGTATTTTGTAAAATACTGTCACATTTCAATTAATATATATTATTGCAATTTTGAAATAAGTTCTTTAACTTATTTTTCATAAAGAATAGAACAGTAACTAAAGAAGTAAAACAAACAATTGTACTTGATTGCTGCTTGACGAAGGTTGCTAAGCCTTTGAAAATTTTGCACGTGGAGGATATGAAACAAACTAATTTTTTTTAAGATTTATATATACATTTGAATCACTAAAAAATCATAAATTACTATATCATTACCATAGAATTCCACCATAATTTATCAAGCTCAGTAACCAAGATGTATTTTATTCTAAAAAAAATATGAAATTTAGAGCAGACTAAAGACACACCCTACCTCATTGAAATATTAGTTTAAAAGAAAGAGATGGGGTCAAGCCTGTTAAAATGGCTGAGAAAGCCACTAGGGGGACATTCTTAGCTTCTGATTGGTTATTCATGTCATATATATAGAAGTAAGTGTATATAACGGAGCATTTCCAAAAAAGGAAAGACGTGGGTTGGGTGCCACTGTGTTAGATTTACTACATGAGCAATATCTTAGCAAATAGAAAAGATAAGACCTTCTTATTTTATACTATAGCTTGTCAATATGGGTAATTTGAGTTTCTAATTCATACGAAACTATAGACTTAGTATTTTGACTTTACAAACATCTAATTTGAACCAGTGCTGGATTCAACATACCACATGACGCACACAAAAATCGATGTTTATCTGTATTTTTTTTAGTATTTGCTTTTAAATTAAGAAATTGAGTAATATACAGTACTAAGATTTGAATTATAATCTATAGTTTGGTACCAAAGTTATTGACATAAATTCATGAACTAGTAGTTCAATAGAATTTTGAATTCGAGTCAACAAACAAGATGACATGGCCTTTCACCCGTGACCCATCTCAAAAGGGTTAATAGCCATTAAGTTTGATATTTAATACTGTTTTTCTAGTTGATTTGGTAATACTTATCCACCCAGGAAACATTCACAACAGTCATCTAAATGCTCTAGTTGTTATTCCTTATATTTAACCTACTGGTACTTTTTTCCTGCATATTCATTAGCTGTAACTTGATAAGCTTGAGTTGGCAGTAAGTTTAGATGTAATATGCAAATAGCATGTACCACATCTCTCTCACCTATATTTACAGAACATTCTACATTTTTTCTGAAGCTCTAATGTACTAAGTTTGTTTAAGGTTATTTTGAGTTTTACTTTCTGTAGCAGTTTCCAGTCATGAATACTAACTAATATTTCATAATTCAGTTGTATTTTAATGGGTAGGCAAACAACGATTTATGAGGAAAAGTTTTATTGTTGGTGGAACATACTACATGTTTTGACAGAACACTGGTATGTGTATTTCAAGTATGATCAGCACTAAGCAATACAAGGTTTATATATTGTTATATAAAGACAAAAGACACAGGGATTAAATGCGACAGAAATGGTGTCAACAGGTGACAAGATATAGGCAGAGGTCAAATGTATGAATGGTGAATAAACCTTGCCAACTATGTCTGAGGTTGCCATTATCATGGTTTAATGAGAGATCGTTTGCTTTGATGATTTCTGTAGTTTCTACACCGTTTCTTTCTTTTATAGTTTTGGGTTGCTGTAGGAGAAGAATTTTATTCCAAAGTATTTTGCAACCTGTTTCATATTAATGATATGTTAAAGCAAATATATGGAATTCACCTCTAGACATGTGATCTTTGTGTTCCTTCTATGAACCATGTTGAGAACTACTGGTCAAGTTGAACCAATAGGTCCCTTTTTGACTTTTAACTTTAAAGTGAAATAAATGGATCAAATTGTTTGTAATTGAAAGAAAATTCCTTTTAACATAACATAATGTTTAGAGACTACAATACAGTAGTCCTTTCCACTTACTATGTATTCAACTTAACCTTCATCTTGCTGTTTCTAATAAATATGCATTTCTTTTTAAACTTCATACCATGTCTTGTTTCTGTCATTTCACCTGCAATAAGTCACTACATCTGTTTTTCCACATATTAGATCCCTGAATCTCAATTAAAGTGCAGGTGAGACAACTGAATACTTGATTAATGTTTGAAATACCATGCAAATATAAAGCCTATTTTGATTTAGAAAACAATTTCAACTGATGTATTATAGCTTATCATTAGTAAACATTGTAAATGTTTTTTGTAGTTTAGATTACTTCAAAAACCGATTTTCTTTAATGTTTTTGTCTTCCCTTCCACCAACCCTTGTTTCCTCCAGCTTTGCTAATTATAGTCACATTATCTCCCTTTTGTAGGGACAGTACATTGGAAGAAGCACCTCTAAAGTCATGTATGGCAACAGCAGCTCCTAGAGGTTTCACTGTATGAATTATATTTGGCATTACTTTAAACTGTAATTTGTGGTACGATGTTACTTTACCAAACAAGTATAACAGCAAGTTTGCTACACACAATACATATAGCTTACAATTAATTGTGATTATCATTAAAGAATATTTCTATACCAATTTTAATGGCTGGCTGTTTTTAAGCATTAGTAGGTAGGAGAGAAGGTAAGAGATGTAAAAAAATGATATTATAGATAGTATAAAGTTGTTTATTATTAAGGAAAGATAGAGAAATGAAAACGATTTTTGATCGAAACGATGAATAGAAAAGATGGAGGGGGTTGTATTTGTTTACGAATGAAATGAAGAAGATATATTTCATAATAAAGGGAAAAAATTTTATCTTTATCTTTCATAAAAGCTTGACATAAGAAGAATGAGTTTATTCGTTTTCCAAATCTGTAAACATGTAACTTTATTGTATCAGTAAGTGTTCGTTTTCCAAATCTGTAAACGTAACTTTATTTTATCAGTTAGTATTCATTTTCCACATTTGTAAACATGTAACTTTATTGTATTAGAAAGTTTCAATTTTCCAAACATGTAACTTTATTGTTACAGTAAGTGTTCATTTTCCACATTTATAAACATGTAATATTATTGTAACAGAAAGTTTCAGTTTTCAAAACATGTAAACATGTAACTTTATTGTAACAGTAAGCATTCATTCTCCGAATCTGTAAACATGTAACTTTATTGTAACAGAAAGTTTCAATTTTCCAAATATGTAAACATTTAACTTTATTGTAGCAACAAATTTTCATTTTCTGAACAGGTCAAACTTCAGATAGAAATTTATTTTCCAGTTTTTGATTATGTTACAGGTTGGTTATTTTCCTCTGGCTTACGTGCAAGAACTTACAGAGTAATGTGAAAAACTAAGAAGAAAAGGCTCT